TGGGTGTTCAGGGTCCCAGCGTAGCACTGAGTCTTTTTCAGGGTGAGCTTTTAAGCACAAAACCATGTTCTGGGTTGACAGACTTTTGTTAACCAGAACTTTTAGCTAGAAGTGGAAAGACAGAAGCCAAAGAGCAAACTTAGTACATTTAGAGACTTTCTCAGAGCTATGGACTTTGATAGATTGGTCTTTGTTTTTGTTTTGGCTCGTGCTGCTGTCTACATGCTGTGTTTTATGCCTGAATGGCACTTCCATCATGGAGTCAGTTGTGTTGAGGTCTGGAGCTCTGTTAGAAAATGGTCATTATAAAATGAACTTTCAAACATAATTGAGTGTAGTTTGTATTTAAATTATCACATACTAACTCCACCCTAATGTTGTGGACTGACGTCCTCTTGCCATGACTTAGTACTTGCACTCTCGAACTCTGAGCAATTGTAATTATATATACAAGACCTGTGCAAGATTTGGCCTATTATTGTTTATCATATTGGTGTTAAGAGTTTCATAATCTCCTCCCCTTGTAGATGTATAGGCTGTTAACAGTTGGTTGGGGGAAGGGCTCACGAAATCCTGCCTCATCCCAAGAATATATAGGCAGTTAACAGCTGATGGGGGAGGGGTTCCCAAGGGCCTGTGGCTTTCTAAGAATAAGTAGGTAGTTAATAGTTGATGGGGGGTTGGGGGGGCTCCAGAGATGCTGCCCTCCAGGGTGATATAAAATATTATAACAGCTTCTGGGAAGACTTTTCTTCAATGTAAATTGCCTATGTTCTTGTAAGTAGTCATAATTAAACCCATCATTTACAAAGTTCTACTTGTGTGGACTCATTTCTTTGGTTTGACTTTGGTACCCTACCTGGGGTAAACAGATATTTTTTCCTCTCTCTAGGAGAAGTCCACATCACATGTGGTTCAGAATTCTTATAACTGGCTGGGTGTGATAGTACATGCCTTTAAGCTTTGTACTCTCTCTGCAGGCTTAGATAGGAGAGTCTCTGTGAGTTCTAGGGCAGCCTGGTCTACATATTGAGTTTCAGGCAAGTCAGGCTACACAGTGAAAGATTTTCTTAAAACAAAACGAAACAAAACTCTAATAACTTGTTAAGTTTTGTGGACAAAAGAAAATGATGGACAAATTATTATGTCTAATCTTCCACATATTTTATTTTTTAAAGTTTTATCAGTGTGTGTGTGTGTGTGCGTGCATGCATGCATGCACATGTGCACATATTGGTAATCTTTGGACTTATGAGGTATAGGCAAGATCAAGAGTCCAAAGTCATCTGTGATGGTTCGTATATGCTTGGCCCAGGGAGTTGCACTATTTGGAGGTGTGGCCTTGTTGGAGTAGGTGTGTCACTGTGGGCATGGGATTTAAGATCCTAGTCATAGCTGCTTGGATGTCAATCTTCTCCTAGTGGCCTTCAGATGAAGATGTAGAACTCTCAGCTTCTCCTGCACCATGCCTGCCTGGTGCCATGCTCCTGTCTTGATGATAATGGACTGAACCTCTGAACTTGTAAGCCAGCTCCAATTAAATATTGTTTTTATAAGAGTTGCCTTGGTCATGGGGTCTGTTCACAGCTGTAAAACATCATCCACAGCTATAGTGTATGTTCCAGGCCTGCCTGGAGTATATGATTCATTTGAGACGTTCTTGGTGGCACATGATTATCCCAGGTTTTGGGAGGTAGAGGCAGAAGGACCAATAATTCAAGGTCTTCTTTAGCTACATATTTGAGTTCTAGGCCATCCTAGAGTGTAACAATCTGTTTTAAATAATCAAATAAACACTTGAATATCTTCCAGGGAAGGTGATGCACACATGTCTTCTACCATGTGGGTTACAGAGATTGAACTCAGGTCACCAGAGAATTATGAAGTATAAGATAGCAATAACACCAGGGAATTGGTGGCAGTATAAAGCTGCTCCCCTGTAAATAGCTTGTGGAAACCAATCAATGTTTATCACCTAAAACCACTTCTAACAATAAATTCAGTGAGTTGATTTAAGATAGGACCCTAATATCTCCATTAGACTCCTCCTTCAAGGCTCAGGGATGTATTCAGTAGGAGGACAGATTGTAAGAGCCAGAGGTGGGAATGACTCCAAGGAACACCAGGACTGGCCTTTCAGAGAGTCTGATACTGAACTTGTAGGACCTGCTGGGGTTCAAATTTCAGCACTGTAAGGGGGAAGCAGACATGGGGTTCCACTCATAATCAAGAAGCTATTTGCAACTAGTGTCTGCTGGCAAACAGAAACTCGAGTTTTTCCAATGGAGTGTCAAAGAGTATATCAACCAACCTTCAGGGTAGGCCAGGTGCCCAGGAGTATTGGCCAACACAAACCAACTCCATGCTTTTCTTGTGGACTTTTATTTTTCGTTTTCATATTATTTGGTTTTTCAAGATAGGGTTCCTCTGTGTAACAGCACTGGCTGTCCTGGAACTCATTCTGTAGAACAGGCTGGCCTTGAACTTGGAGATCTGTCTCTGGGCCCAAGTTTTGAGATCAAAGGGGTGTGCCTTTCTTTTTTTTGTCTTACCAGTTTCCTATTTGTTTTCTTTCTCTTTTTGAGAGAAAGAACAGGAAGTTGGGGCAGGAAGGTGATGAGGAGGGTTTGAGAAACTGGGGGAAGGGAAAACATGAAAATATATTGTATGAAAAAAATGTTAAAGAAAAAGAGCATATGGCCCTAGATGGCATATTCTCATATACTTCCATGTTGTCAGTGGATTGTTTCATTCCTCATATTTATTAAGATGCTCCTTGCTCCTTTTTTTTTTTTTTTTGAGACAGGATTTCTCTGTATAGCCCTGGCTATCCAGGAACTCACTCTGTAGACCAGGCTGGCCTCGTGCTGGGATTAAAGGCGTGCGCCACCACTGCCCGGCTAAGATGCTCCTTTTGTGATAGTGATATCAAGCATGTTAAAGTCAAATGGTATTGTGAAATATGATATTTCACAAGTTTAGTGTATTGAAAAAAAATAATTTTCTTACGAAAGTTTTCTGAAAAATACTCTCTGAAAAGCTGATTCATATGTGTTGTAGTTTTTCTTCTTCAACTGGTAAAGCAGAGCAATGTATGTATGGAATTTAAACGAGGGTGAAAGCACTTTTTTATTGAAAATGTTTCTACCAAGTTATTCTTTGTAAATGGTATCAACTGCAGTCTACACATTAGTCTGAGACCTTAATCAGTAACTCACTTTATTAAAATTTTCATGTTCATTATCATCCTGAAGAGCTTTAAAGTGTAACGTCATATGACTCATTAATAGGCGGTATTGTCAATTTGGAAATTCAGAAGTCTAATTTAGTCCATCCATTTGGCTGGGGAAGCAAGCAAGCAAGCAAGCAAGCAACCAACCAACAATATCTGTTGTAATCCCGCTAGCAACCACCAGGGCGAGGTGCATTTCTTAGGTTACAAGGAGTCCTGAAAATCAATAGCCAAGTCTTCGGCCAAAGGCGTAGGTGTAGACGAGGAACAAAAGACCCTCGTGCCGCCCTCCAGCGACTCCGCTAAATGCTCCCAGTGGGACTCCCGTGAGAGTCACTGCCCACCGGGCCAGGACTGTAGCGAAAGGCATGTGATGTCCCGAGGCCCTGTCAACGTGGAGGACAGGCGCCGGGCAGGCCTGGGAGCGCGTGCTCGGTTAGGCGCCGACGGCCGAGCCCAGACAGCCCAGGTCCCAGGGGCGTGAGCCCGCTAAGGGAGCCCGCGGCTCCATCTTGCCCGGCGGCAGTCTGGGGCCCGCACCGTCGTGTGGCCCCGCCGCAATCCAGGCGCGCACGCCCTTAGCGGCCGAGGGGAAGGCCTATGGTAGAGCGGATCCGGCTCGTTCGGGCCAAGTTTCTCGTTCCCACGGGTTCGGTTCTGATGGGCCCCAAGTTTTCCCAACAGATCCCACAAAATGGAGGCCGACGTCTCCTTTCGCCGCAGCCATGGCGGAGGTGGGACACTCTTCCCACGGGCCAGGCAAGGTGGAAGCGTCTGCACGGCCGCCCGCACACTCGTCCCCTAAAAGCTGCAGCCGGGCTCGCCCCCTAGGTCCGCCGCAGGCACTGCCGGGCTCGCCAGTCGCCGGGGCCTGGACAGGGAGGACGCGGGGACATCGAGGCCGCGTCTCTCCTAAGGCAGAGTGGTAGGGGGCCGCGGCGACCGTCTGGAGGCCAAGGCCCAGTGTCCAGCTCCCGGCCCGCGGGAAGCCTCGACGACGATCACCGGCCCCAAGGCCGAAGCGCGAGCGGTATTGCGGGCAGCGCCACCCGGGCTCCTGACCCCGGCGGACCCCGCGAGTGGGGGCGGGGCGGGGCGGGGCGGGGGCAGCGAGGGAGGGAGGGAGGGAGGGAGAGAGGGAGGGAGGGAGGGAGGGAGGGAGAGAGAGAACGGGCCGGGCCAGCCCCGGGCTGTAGGGGGGGGGAGGGGGGGGGGGGAGGGGGGAGGGGGCGGCCTGCCCGAGGGCGTGGCCCAGGTCTGACGGACAGCCGCTGTGACTACCTCACCGAGGAGGATCCTGAAAGACGGCCGTCTGGGCCAATGGAACCTGCCCGAGGCATTCCGGGCCGCCCTCGCCTTCCGCCAATGAGCGTGAGGAGGGCAGGGCCTCCCCGGGCTCCGCCGCGCCGCCGCCTCCTCTGCCTCCTCCTCACCAGCGCTAAAGCCGGGACTGGACCGAGCGGAGTTGTGCGTGTCGCCGAAGGGGGGTGGGCCGGGGGAGGGGAGGTTCGTTCCGCGGAGCTGCAGCCAGAACCGGGTGAGGCTTCTCCCCGCTGTCTTTCCTGTCGAGGGACGCGGAGAGTGGGGGTGGCTGGGAGCAGCGCAGCCTCGGGAGGAGGAGGCGGAGGCGGGGGCGACTGGGGAGGCGGAGATGGGTGAGGGCAGCGTCGGGAGCCTCCCACCGAGCCGGGCTTAGCAGCCCGCGGCGGCCGGCATCGCCGCTGCTGCGTCTGGGCCTCGGGGTGCGCTGGGGGCCGCGCTGGTGTCCAGGGCGGCTTCGCGTGCGGCCCGAGGGGTGAGGGAGCGCGGGCGCGGCCGGGCGGGCTGATTGAGACGGTCGCCGGGGCGGGGGGCGCGGGGGCCTCGGGGTGCGGGCGGCGGCGGCCGGAGGTCGCGGGGTGTTTTCCTTTCTGTGCTGCTGGCGGGCGGGCGGGCGGGCCGGGGAGGGGCCCTGTGGCCCTCGGTCCTGGGGGCCGCACTCCCACCCTGCCTGCCCGACCGAGACCCCAAGTTTTCGTTGGCAAGGGACGCCTTTTAAGTCTTGCCGGGTCCTCTTCGTCGCTGGTCTCCTCCCCGGCGCTGTGCTGCGCGGCTCTGGCTCCTCACGTATTGTTTGGCTGGGTCTCTAATGGCGGACGGGGAGGCAGCGCTGCCGGTCTCCGACTGCAGGGGGGGCAAACCTTGGGCCCAGGGCAACAGCTTGGGGCAAATATGGGCAATATCAGACCATCGTTGACATAAACAGTTTCTTACCTGAAAATTGGTGCTGAGTTTGACTGGAATGACGGTGGTGGTAAGATTTGAGAGGGAGTGCAAGTCCCTTGCTGGCGTCGGGGCAATGTTTGCCCTTCCCCCTCCCTACCCAGTAGCAGGCTTGATGCCTTCAGGTTCCTTTCCGTGCAGATTGTCGCTTACACATAGGTTTTGGCCCCAAATAAAATACTTCACTCCACTTGGGTAGGAGTGGGCCGTTTTGCGTGTGCTTTGGGGTAATAATAGAAGGGCCGAACCTCCTTGACCTCTTAGTCCCTTCTCTGCCTCCTCCTGGTGAAATAGGCTTGGTGCTCCTACTAGATTGAATGTTCATCCATTTCTCTCTCTCTCTCTCTCTCTCTCTCTCTCTCTCTCTCTCTCTCTCTCTCTCTCTCTTTTTTATCCCAGGTCCAGAAATTTCGTTCAACCCTATCTGGTGCATCTTTGGCAGAAAGTGAGGAAAACACCATTGTGAGTCCTTTGCTTCTAATTTGTTGCTTATTACAGAGGAAGGACATCGTTGGATTATAGGGGTTCATCTATGGGACTTGGCCCTCCTGGTTTTTCTTAAGGGGAGGAGCCTTCTCTTGGGTGGCAGCTGCTCTCGGGGAGAAGCTCTAGTGATGCCTGGTGAGGCAGCTGGGAGTGGGCGCTGCTGTTTCCACCGCTGCAGACATCACTTCTGCTGCTGCAATACCAACCCCAGCAACCAGACGATGGGCTTCTGCAGCTGCTCACGTTACGGGCGGAGGAGGGGTGTTGTGAAGGAGGGCATATTTCTGGTGCCCTCTAGAGTTACAGAGTGGGAATTAATGTTATTTGGTTTGAAGTACACGCAACCATTTTTGACATTTTTCTTGTCATAATGGTTAGTGGACCTCAGGTATTTGACAACTAGAAAGAGCTGCTTAAAGTGTCTGATCTGAATGACAGAATTTGACCATTAAGGTGGATGTGGTTAAGAAAGAACACAATATCTGTTCTTTGTATCTGTTGTTTCATCTCAACTAGTAGCTGCTCAGACCTGTGCAGTCCTCTACTTAGTCTTTCATCTCTGGTGTTGACCAGTCTTCTATTACATCACACTTCTTATAAATTTCCAAAGATTTTTATAGCGTGGAAGTGCATGATGTGTTTGTGTTGGTGCACATGCCACAGCACCAGCGTGTAGGTCAGGACAACTTTTGGAGTTGGTTCTACCCTTCACTGTTGAATCGGTACTGTGGATCCAACTCAGGTTGTTAGGCAAGTGCCTTTATCCACTCAGCCATCTTGCCAGCCTTGTCACTTATTTTGAGATGGGGTCCCAGGCTGACCTTGAACTTTTGTTGCATAGCCTAGAATGACTTTGAACTTACGATCCCTCTTTCTCAACTTCCCAAGTGCCAGAATTACCCTTGTGCCCTCTTGCTAGATTTATGTGGTTCTGGGAATCAAACCCAGCTTCCTGCACTCTAGCAAGCACTTCAACTGTGCTACATTTCTACTCCCAAATATTACTCTTGAGCTCAGTGCAGCTCTGGTTGTTACTTGTATACTTTCAAGGGTATAAGTATAGATGCTTATGGTTTCCTTTTAATGTGTATGATTGATTTACTTGATTTAATGTATGTGAGAAATACATTTACTTGTTGGCCAAGGATGTCAGAAAAAGGTATGGGATGTTGTGAGCCACTGTGGGTACTGGAAACCGAACCTTGTAAGAATAAGTACTTTTAACTGTTGAGCCATCTCTCCAACCCAATGTTAGACGTTTTAAACTTGTATTAAATAATTTAATCCACAGGAGAACTTGGTAGTATAGCTAGTATTTTTCCCTTCTGAATACTGTTTTTATTCTGAATTTGCAGGAGGAAATAGCCATAGAAAGATACTGGGAAGTATTTAGTAAAGCAGATTCTGAACATAAGCAGTGTGATGACAAAGGCCAACATCAGCAACTGTACTTTATGTCATAGATCTCAAATTTCAAAACCAAGTCAAAATAACTGCTTCTTGCTTGGAAGTAGAAACATAAAAACGTGCTTGAATTCTGTTTCTTTCTTTTTAAAAAATAGAAAATGTCAGGTGGTGCTGGTGCACACCTTTAATCCAGCACTCAGGAGGCAGAGGCAAATCTGTGAGTTTGAGGCCACCCTGGTCTATAGAGGGTAACATGGGCTACATAGAAGAACTCTGTCTGAGGGGTGGGAGAATGACCCATAGTTAACAATTGGTATTTATTTATTTACTTATTTAATTTAGGCTAGGATTATGGTCCAGGCTGGCCTTGAATTCACTGTGTAGCACATGATGTCTTTGGACTGTTCTTTTTACCTCTTTTTTTAGTTGGTGGGGTTACAGGCATGTGCCACCATGACCTGCTTCATTTAGATTTTTTACTACCTTATTTCAACACCAATAGAGGCTGTTTGTATCAGTATAATTTTTTTGCAGTGTATGTCTAGATTAGTCTGAAAATGTGAAGGAACTTTATTATTATTTGAGATGAGGTTTTGCCATATAGTTCTGGGACTCACTTTGTAGACCAACTCAGAGAGAACTCAGAGAGTTACACCTGCCTCAGCCTTCCAAGTACTGGGATTTCAGGTGTCTACCTCTATGCCTAGTTTGATTATAAACCTCTAATGAATGTGAACTCCTTTTAGGAATTAAGTCATTCAGATACATTTCAGTACCTTTCATGTGGATGCTGTTTATATTGTCATGAATGATTAACTTATCTTCCCTCCCATTTTTCTTATATTTTTGATTGTGAGCTTAGCCTTTAACAGCTGAGCCATCTCTCCAGCCCTCCTCCCCTTTTTCTTAGTTGTGGTTTTTGTTTGGTTGTTTTTTGAGACAGTCTTGAGGAGTGTGAGTGAGAGAGTGAGAGAGAGAGAGAGAGAGAGAGAGAGAGAGAGAGTGTGTGTGTGTGTGTGTGTGTGTGTGTGTGTCAGTGTCAGTGTTGCTCATGCTGGCCTAGACTTTACAGCAGTTCTCCTGCCTCAGTCTTGGTGCAAGGATTACCTAGGATTATAGGTATGTGTCACTGGACATGGCCTGACTCTGTCAGTCCTTTGTCAGTCACTTTGGTGGTCCACAGAAGCTGACATAAGAACATTTCCAGCTTGTATGGATATGAGCTTGTCAGACCATAGATTTGTATAATTGTATTTATTTTGTAGGCTTTTATTCTGTTTTGCTTGTTTGAGGTACAGAAGTATACAAAACAGTGCTATTGTGACAAAATGAATCTTTGGCTCTTATAACATGCTCTGGTATTACTATGATAGAAAAAAATGTATGAAATACTGTAACTCTTTGTTGTCAAAAGATGTGGTAAAGTTTTATTTTTGTCTCTTTATGCTTTGATATTTGTCCCCATCTCACTGATAACATTAACACATAGTTTATTATGTTAAATGGTACTTATTATAAGAAGTTGTAAGAGTATTCACTTCTGTATGTCTTTAGGGACTGTCAGGAAAGCTCAAACTAATTTCTTATCCTGCTGGAATTAATATGTGTGATCGCCACAGTGGTATCTTGATACCTTAAGAGAGATACAGGCAGACAGAGACAGACTGTCTTTCTGGAACATCTCTCATTAGGAAATAGATTGCCTGGACTCCATGCTTAGTAAATTTTTATTTGAATTTTACTTGGTTGATTTTGTTCTGTTACTAACAGTATATAATAAGGATTTTAGATTGACCATATTCAGATCCAGTAGCTGTACAGATCCCAATACATGTAACTCATAAAGTAGCCAGTGAGAAAGAAGATAGTGCGGTTGGATAAATGCATGAGTTTCAAGTATGAGCTGCAGAACAACATTGACTGTGTTTTTTTTTTTTGTATACAATCTAGATAATTTTGCTGTACCTAGTTGGATATTTTAGTTTTAAAATAATTGACATTTTTAGTTTTTTTTTTTTTTTTTTAAAAAAACAAACAAACATAGAAACAGCAACTGCATCTTCATTGGTGCCCGTGCTAAATTCATGGTAAAAAGATAGCTGATCATCTTAAAGGGTGAATTATAACATACCTTTTATTTTGTTTAAAAACATATCAGTTTAGGGACTGGAGAAGCGGCTCAGCGATTAAGAGCACTGACCATTTTTCCAGAGGACCTGCGTTCAGTTTCCAGCACCCACATGATAGCTCACAACTGTCTATAATCTGCTTCTAGAGGATCTGGCATCCTCACACAGATGCACATAAAAATAAATAAATCATCTAAAGAAAGGATACGTATCAGTTTAAAAATGAAGTTAAAATATTTAGCATTTTTTTTATTCACCATTAAAAATCCATTTTAGTGTTAGAAAATTGATTAGGTACCACAAATACTTGATCACATGGTATGATTTGTGTTGTTGTTGTTTTTTTGTTTTTTGTTTTTTGTTTTTTTTGTTTTTCGAGACAGGGTTTCTCTGTATTTCTCTGGCTGTCCTGGAACTTACTCTGTAGACCAGGCTAGTGATTTGTGGTTTGTTTGTTATTTTATTATTGTTTTTTCAGACACAGTTTCCTATCTTCTCTTGCTGTGATTAAAATACAGATCAAGAAACAACTTAGAGGAGGAAAGGATTTATTTATTTTACACTTCTAGGTCACAGTTTATCATTGAGGGAAGTCAGGGTAGGATCTCAAGCAGGAACCAAGAAGGAATGTTGCTTGCTGGATTGTTTTTCTCCTCTCTTTCCCTCTTTTCCTCTCTCCTCCTCCTTTTTTTTCTTTCTTTCTTCATAGAATTTCAATATATAGCTTTTCAGGCTTTGAACTTCCTATGTAGACCAGACTGCACTCAAACTCATAGATATCTGCCTGCCTCTGCTTTTGGTTCTAGAGTGCTATTAAAGGCTATGCAGTTATGCCCTATTCAGCTAGTTTTATACAGTTTAGGCTAGCCCTCCCTGCTCAAAGATGGTGTTACAGCCTAGAGTTGGCTGGGCCCTTCTACATCAAACACAAGTCAAGACAATTCCTCACAGACATGGTCAGGCACAATCTGATCTGGGCAGCTCTTCAATTTGATACTTAGATGACTCCAGGCTGTGTCATATTGACAGTTGAAACTCAATAACTAGGATACTCCATTCCTTGTCTATTTGACACACAAACATATCACTTGAAGCCATAGCCTTTCAACTCTTTCCCTGTTTCTAATATCTCATTAATATTATAAAATAAAATGTAGTCCAACTTTCAAAGTCACAGTCTTTAAAAATTTCCAATACTTGAAAAGTTTAATCTTTTTAAAAGTCCAAAGTTTCTTAACTGTGGGCTCTATAAAATTAAAAACCAGTAATATTCATTCTTACTCTTGGTGGGAGGAACTAGGCATATTTATACTCAGATCAAACCAAACCCAAAATCCAGCAGTATAACTCCAAATTCTGAAGCTCAGTGTTTGGCATCTAAGACTTAATTACCTTCTGAACTCCAAAGGGCTTGACAGCTTACCTCTTCAGCTGGGTCAC